CATGAATTCACTTGGGGAATAAAGACTGAATGTTGTTGAACAGATCAGGGAACGCAAAGTTGTGGGGAGTGCCCCTGATCGAATAGTCGGATGCTCCTGCGTAGTAACCACGTCTGATGTTGGTATCAACAAGAATGAAGCATTGATATAAGATCCCACAGTAAATGTGAACCATTTGCTGACAAGATGCTCCAAGAACTCAAGATTGTGTAGCACTCCATGGTTGAAAGTAATTCCCAAAAGATGAGGAGAAGAGGAGACATGCTGCAACAATAAGTGCAAGATTGTTGACATTATTATTAGAGCTTTCATGACCTGGCTCATCTGAGTCTTCAATCAATTATCTTCCTGTTCGAAGAAATTTCTGACCACGGGCCAAAGTATACCACACGGAGTTATTCCATAACTGATCCCTGAACAAGTGCAGTGAGAAATCAAGTTGAACCTTTGAAGAGAATACCAGGCCTGAATAATAATCCCCAATCTTCGAGTACCTGTTATGAATTCATGAATATGTATGGGGTGCATGAATGAATGCCATGTCATGTTCTGTCATTTCCAAGGAATTTACGTGCTTTGATTTTGATTTTGATTTTGCGTAGGTAAGGGATGGAAGATTTTAGCACAAGACTCGCAAATATGATTCCTTGGAAATAATAGAACATGTATGTTAAGCATATGGTTGACCATGTTATGTATGCAAAGGCATGAGATCAAATCGGATCAAGGTTCCATCATTTCTGAACATGATTGCTGCACTGTTCAGAATCATATGAATATCATCAAGTCAAAGGTCTGGCATAGCTTCCGCGCATACAAGAACCAAGTACCATGTAGATCATCAATTGTACGAGATCAAGGCTTCTGGAACATTGGATACTGTTGAGCCTTTTCTGAACATGCTGGGAATACCAGGATCGAAGGCCTGAATGAACCTCCAAGTATATGAATCATGAACTCAAAAAATAAATCTGAGAACCATATGGTCATGAACAGAATGTAGTATCTGCATAAATTCATCAACAGAAATCCAGAACATAACCATTAGAACCAAAAGTCATCGTCTGGGCATAGTCACCATCTGAACATGAGTAACCATCTGAGCATAGTCACCAACTGAGCATAATCACCATCTGTACCTGTGATAATAATATTTCCTCCCCACTCACAGGTGAAGACTAGGTCAGGGTAAGGCAATGGTAACTCAGAATCGAGGGTACTCTTGAAAAACTATCACCGTATCACCTACGTGAAAACGATAGCCCCTCATTTGTACCTCATCTGAGCGTGGACGACATGGAGGAGATAGTGAGACCTAAGTCAACTAGCCGTTCATGTTCCACTCTATTCCTAGGGTTCCTATGGTATACAGCTCTGGCCTGGGTATTGGGCCTTTTACCTCATAGTAACACCCACCCAATAAGAAGCGGATCCAGTACAACAGTAGTATATGGAAGACAGTAAAATGCAATGCATACATATGCTCAGGTGTATACAAAATGAATGAATAAACTGAAAGCATAAATATAAACACCCAAAGAAAAGAAAGCAAGAGCTATGAGCGACTCCGAGATGGACCAGAATTTGGTCGACCTGTCCCCAGTGAAGTCGCCAATTGAAACAACCGGCTGAAAATCATCAAACAATAAAGTCGCCATCGAACGTCTTTTATCCCACAGTCCTGCATGAGAGCAAGCCAATAAAACACCAAGAAAGGTTATCTCATTAGGAGCAACTCTCACCTTCTGCATTTCTTCAAAGAGCTGAATTGCCGCATAACCTTTTCCATGATTAGCTAACCCTCCAATCATGGTACTCCAAGAAATCACATCCTTCTCAACCAACTAATCAAACAAACTCCAAGCTTCATTAATACAACCACACTTAGCATACATTTCAACCAACGCATTACATATACCACTCTTATGCAAAAACCTGTTTTTATCAGCATACATATGAATCCATTTCCCAACCTCAAGAACTCCAAGTTGCGCACAAGCAGGCAAAACAGCTATAATACTAATCTCATCAGGATCAATACCCACCATTTGCATCTCACGAAAAACACCTAACGCCTCCGCATAACAATCTGTTCTAGCATACCCAGTTACCATAGTCTTTCAGGACACAATAGTCCTAATGGGCATTTCATCAAACAACTCCCTTGCACTCTTCATCTGCCCCATTCTCACATACCCAAATATCAAACTATTCTAAGAAATCACATCTCTATGATCCATTTCCTCAAACACCTTGCACGCATTAGTTAAATCCCCACATTTCGTATACATATCAATCAATGCATTCCCCATTAAATTACTTGAATCAACACCAAATTTAAAAACCAGGCCATGAACTTTAATTCCAAGACTTCCACACATAATCCCCGCACATGATTTGATCACAAACGGGAACGTGAATTTGTCTGGAAAAACTGATTTAGTTGAATGTGCAAGCATTTGGATGAAGAAACTGATTGCTAAAGAATGGTGGCGATTGTGTGTGTAGGTTCTGACGATGGCATTGTAGGAGAAGATGTTTGGGTTAGTGAGTTGTTAAGAGAGTGAAGTAGCATAACCAATGTGGCCAATGTTGTCGCATGAATCGATCATTTTTGTGATCTAGAAGTTGCTTTGTGAAAGAATTGTGTATATAGGTAAGAATGATGGGAAATGTTTGTTAGAAGAGTTTGTTATGAAGTTAGTTGCAAATTGGTTAGCTGTTAGGATTGGAGAAAACGGTTAGGGAGCTGAGTTGGAGGTTGAGAGAAGAAAGTTGAAAAACAGTTAGGATTTGTTATGAAAATTAGTTGGTTTAGTTAGAGAGAAGATTAGTATAATATGCAGGGCTGAACTGGTTTTTCTTGTATTTGGATGAATGATTATATGCAGATTTGTTGTAACAAATTCCTGTGGATTGATTTGGTGAACTGGTTTCTTAATGCAGGGCTGCCCATTCGTTTGAATAGAAACCGGTCAGATTTTGAGGTATTAACGAAGGGATAAATAGGATGTCCAAGGCATGTGCATTACTAGAAACTTGAGAAGTGAGCAAGAGTTGAGAACAACATGAAGATTGAAGATGAACAATCATAAGCTTAGGATAATATTTATGGGTAGCTTTTGATGTATGATTTGTGACTTTTGGTAATTTCTATGTAAAGGAGATGAAAATGTATAATGGCACTGATCATGAAATATACATAGTAATGCTATTTTTCCTTCAAAGCGTTGTAAGAAACCATTTCATTATCATAAACCCAACCCACTTTCTTTTGAGTCATCTTGATGAAGAAGTTTGATGAAATAAAAAGTCACCAATGAATATGAACATAGAACCCTAGCTTTGTAAACCATAATCAAAGAACAAACCAGTTGATTTAAACCTGAGTGAAGATAAGAGCTTAAAAACATTTAGAAACCCTAATTCCTCAATATCTTTGATCGCATGCCCATTTTATCGATTAATGAATGAATGATGTGTTATATGACCTAATGGAGTTATGTACATGAGAAAAGCGCGACAATGCATAAGCCAGATAAAAATAAAAGGGGCGAGATAAATTTAGGATATTACACATGGTGACAATGATACTTAAGTTCTAAATTTTAATGGTAATGCATTCAAAACTCGAAGTTATGGTGGTTTGGTGCCTAACTCGAATTATGGTAGTATGGGTATATCTAACATTTTACATACTGGAGCTCTATTAACAAGAATTATATTTTGTTAGGATGTGAACTTATAAAAAAATTGTGCGTTTTTCTAACTCCTTCTATGTCATGTCATGTTAGTGGCGAAGAGAACACCAGTATTTCATCATAATGTTATCCTTTTGAATTAATTCAAAGACAATTCCATTTGCCACATTGACATAGAAAGAAACTCCTGTGTAAATATCTTTGTCAAATTAAAAATTAATCAACAAAGAATCTCTTGTGATGGATGCATGAGTGATTGTCTTGTCTCTTTTCAACTATTTTGGATTTTCTTCTTCATTTTTCTCTCCTTTCCTCTTCATCTTTTCTATCTTTTTCTTAATTATATTTTATTTTTTAATAATGAATGAGAATGAGATTAAGAGAGAGATAGAGAATGGAGAAGAAATAAGAGAAAATAAAGAAAAAATCAAAGTCCTTTTTCAACACAATTATCAATGTTATATAAATATTATTTATTAGAAGATAGTCCTTTATTTATTTTTATATTTTGCTTTTCTTTTTTCTCTCTTGTAACCACAAAAAATAGTGTTCATATATAACTAAAAATTGTTTTTAAAAGATTGATATGTTTAGTATAAAATTTAGACAAAATATACCAACTTTTTTTGATACATTTTTTTCTTATATTTAAAATCTCAGAGTTTTTTTATAAGTAAATAATCAATTCACTTAAAGATTTGAAAGAAATCTTGTCAAAAATAGTTATAGAGGTTTTACATTTAATATATTTATTATTTTTATTAAACGTCACTTAAAAAATAATTATATCAAATTGTAAATTATTTTATGATACTAATGAGTTAATGTATTATATTTCTAAATATTTATTATTTTATTTTTTTACACATATAATAAATAAATTATGATTTTAATATTTGTAAAAATATCAAAATTAGGTATGTACTTTTGTGGTGAAATTGTTTTTTTATTAAAATAGAAAAAAATAAGTGATATCTTATAATTTTACGCTGTCAATCAATTACAATTATAAATTATATCAAATTATGTTATAATTTTTAAAAAATTTATATAAATATAAAAAAATGATATATTTTTATTAAATAATAATATAAAACGATACATCTCCTTTAAACGCATTAAAAAAAGAAAAAAAATATTTTAACACTTCTCACATTTATAATATTTTAATATATTTCTTTTCTCCTTTTTCTCTTATAAATCACTATGACCCCTCTCCAATTTTTCTCCTTCCCTTTTCCAATCTCTCATCCTCTCAATTTTCCAAACCCTTTCTTTCTTCTTCCCAAAACCCCAAACATGCAAGTTCCCTTGATCGACAGACTCAACGATTTCCAAGCAGGTTTCAACTCATTGCAAAACCCATCTCTCCCTTCTCAAATCGCAACCACCTCCTTCAACGGTTTCCAATCAGTTTCCATAGCTTTCAATTTCTGCAAATGGGGTGCTGTCATTCTCGCTTTAGTCGCAACCTTTGGTAGCATCATCAACAAACTCACCATATTCATCACCCATCTCCGTAAAAAAGCTCATTCCCTTCCTTCAATCGCTTTCGATGACGTTTTCAGCTCCGACGAAAATGACGACGACGACGTCGTTAGCTTATCTTCTTCATCGGACTTTGAAGACGACGAGCCATCTGTATCATCTTCTTCAAGTTTCAACGATTTTTTCAGAATCAGCGGAAACAGTTATCTTATAAACGACGAGTTCCAGTCGCAAAACGGTGGACATCAACGACAACGTAGTATCGGTGACATTTTTTCTTTTTTTGAATTAGCTAACAGTGAAAACGTTGTTAAGTTTTGGGACAGTATAGGATTCGGTCTAGGTTTAGATTTCGATGAATACGAGGACGGAGTTATGTCCTCATACGACGTCGTAAGCAGCAACCAAAACGCGCTTTCAACTCACGTGGATTCACCAGCGGTAGTTGTATCGGCGGGAGAAGGCGCGCGTGGTAATCTCGCGATTGAAATTTGGGACACGCGCCTCCGTCGACGGAAGCCTTCTGTTGTAGCGGAGTGGGGGCCTACGGTGGGGAAGACGGTTCGCGTCGAATCTGGCGGCGTTCAGAAGGTTTATGTGAGAGATGACGGACGTCAACGTTTGACGGTTGGTGATATGAGAAAAGTCAGTATTCCGTTAAGAAACGTAACGAAATCTGACGCGGATAATACTTGGTGGGATGCGGATGCTGTTATTGTTTCGGGTGAACATTAATCGAAGTTGCACGCAACTTTGTAAAATTGGAATATTGAAATTTTATTTTATTTAATTTAATTTCGGGTTGGTGCTAAAAAAAAATAATTTATAATATAGGAAAATAAGGCATCGCCGGAGATTATTTGAAAAATTGCCTAATTTGTATGATTGTTTATTTAGTTTAAACTTGACAGCTGTAAATGAATAAAGTATTTCTTTGAATTTGTACATTGGTCTCGATTAGCTTGGTATATTAAACGTGTGGTTGAAAATAAGCGATCTTGCTTCTAGATTATTAAGATATGGATAGCTTCCTTAGGAGGATGAATGTTTCGTAAATGAATTTTAGGTAGCTTCCATAAATGAAAGTTTTAAAATCTTTACACATTTCCGTGTAAGTCAAAAAATATACTAATTAATACAAAAAAAAAAAACTTAACCATCATCTCGGACTTTTATTTGCGAGATTATTTAGAACTGTATTTTTTTTTTTAAATTACTAATATGTTTTTAAAGATAATATGTTTTTTGAGTAAATATAAGAATAAAAGAAAAAATTATATATTTATCATATTTTCTAAAATGAAAATGAATTTAAGATTTTTTTTGTTTTGTTAATTGAGAAAAACTCACCTCCCAATTACAATTAAACAATAATTTTTTATTTCCACGTTTTATGCAATAAATATCAATCATATGCATCTTAATTTGTAGCTAATGTATTCTCTAAAGGGTCAAATTCCAAAAAAAAAAAAATACAATCATATAGACATAAAAATATAAAATAAGAAGAAAATAAAAATATCCACCACATAAAAATTAAAAACATCATACAAATAAGAATAACTTTATGGAAATGATGCATGAGATGAATCTAAAAATATTGTTTCGATTGGCAAAATAATTTTAATAGTCCTATTTAACACCTATAATACATCACTCTACTTGATGTCGTCTCGTCCTTGTTAAAAGTATAATAGTTGAGAATCTCATCAAATAGGAATTGCAAGAGATTATGTGTCTTTTGTGGAATTAATGAATGAATTATCTCAATTCAAGAATTGATATATTTATAGAAGACCCATTTGATTAAACTAAGGAGCGATAGAAATAGTTTCCCTAGTTTCTTAATCATAAATGTGGGAAGGGAGGAAGATCGATACTTCCTCATATTATGGGGAGATGGATTTCTCCCTTTGATTAATATCTAGATAATTACTTCTTGGACACCTCATAGGCTATATGTGTTAAATGAGAATGATCATGAATTTCAGTTCGGACGAGGAGACCCAAGCTCAATCGAGTGATTTGGAGTGCGATACAGGCGACCAATTCTGATGCGGGCGCTCGCCTAACATCACTGCACTTAATTCATCATGTTTTATCATGGATAATCCTTTTTTAGGTCAAATAAAATTATCTTAATTCACAACCCCTTAAGCTTGAGGCCTTGAAAGGGATGAGGTAATTTAATTCGAGCATACTGCGAACTTAGAAACTTATTAATAATGTGTTCCTAGGGAAAGTCTCTCCAGCAGTGCTCATGGAGAGTCCCTTAAGTGAAGCTCAGGGCGAGTCTCTCAAGCGTCAATTGTAGTAAGTCATTCTAGCGTCGCATGGGTGAGTCCATCAAACGTAACTTGGGGAAGCACATACAAAATTAAATGTTTCTCATGATGAGGTTGTTTTGGGAAGACAAGTTTGCTGAGAACCCTTGATTCCTTTGTAAATGTCAAAAAGGAGACGAGTAAAGGTTCTCCTTAAAATCGTTGCCTAAGGAGACATAATCATTGCCAATGCGACCTAGGTTCTTGATCCTCTAAGTGGAAAACTTAGGTTCATTCCTCATCCAGGCTATCTTTAGTGTTTTTATTTATCAGGGAAAGTTGCATTCAAACTTTCTCAAACTCAACTTAATCTTCCATCTTCGCTCACATGTATAACATCTTCTTCCATCTCTTCACCGACCTTTTTCCCAAAACATTGCAATCATTACTGAGTTAGATGAGAAGGGAAATGTGATTAAATCCTTCAATAGTAGAGAACTCATAAATTGTATGAAAATGTCGGACGAGTTGAAGGAACTTCCACAACGTGAAAAATACCTGAGCACGAACACGCTCGAAAGTCAATGAAGTCACCACAAAAGTTTATTTTTAAAGGGAAAACATTGATAAAACCCTAAAGAACAAATATATGGTCATCACAATCAATTTTAGGTTCGGGAGTTGGTTATGCATAGTGACATACCCCAATTTTACCCCATGGTTGTTCATTCATCGCATTCACATCATTGATCAGTCATTCATGCATTAGGTCGTTTAAAAGTCGACATTAGATCAATTTAACTTCATTTAAAATCCAAAAAATAGTCTAATTGCATTCCATGCATTTTCATTCATTGCATTGCTTCATACACCGTGTGGAGCCGACTCGAGGTTGATCAAAATAAATTTTCTATTCTATCGATAAACCGATAAAAGTAATTCGATCCTCTACTGTCAATGTTGAAGGTTGATGATGTTGTCATCCATAGTGTGATACGGTGGGAGAACTAACTTGAGGTTTTACGTTTCGTCGCAAATGTTTCTGTAAGTGTTTAGTTATTGGCATGTATTTTTGGTAAAACCAGGTGTGTGAGTGTCATGACTGATGTCATAACATTCTGGGTCTTTAGGTACTTTATGCAGAAAAAGAATGGCATACAATAGCTGCTATTTATGAGTGTGTATCTGAGCATTTTGCAATGATCACATTTATCACTTTCTACCAAAATCAGTAAACAGGATTTCTGTTGTCATAACAAATGTTAAGACATCCTGTACTGATCTAACAGTTATGCAGTTTGGTTAATTATGAGATTTTTCAGGAATTTGGTTCATACTTTCAAGAACAGAATCTCACGTGGACTTTAGGTTAACCTAGCTCAACCCTAATCTGGTTGATAAAGTCTTGTGACCAAGTCTTAAGGTTAACCCTAATTAACCCTAGCTTTTCGTGGAAGCCCTAACTGAAGAAACAGCTGCATATATATTCAACAGGAAAGCTGTTGGAAAATCAACTCTTTGACAGAAGATCAATTAGGGGCTGTATAGTTTTAACTGCTGTAATCCAAGCAAGTATCATTGTGATAAGTGACTTGGAGTAGGTTTTGATTGTAAGGGTTGTGTATCACTCAAAGCTTTGAAGCAAGAGTGTTTGTGTCACTTGACTAAAGCTTTGAAGCAAGGTCAAGTTAGGTTTATGTATCACTCAAAGCTTTGAAGCACGAGTGGTTGTGTTACTTGATTAAAAGATGTGAAGCATAATCAAGTGTATGTTCTGAAGAGTGTCTTCATTAATTCATTAGTCAATTGTTTAGTATCACTGCTGTGATTGAGGGGGGATGAGTAGGAACTCAGGTTTAAGTTGAACTTAGATTGAAGTTGCATTGGGTAGGTCTTAAGTGAAGGAGATAAACTGGTTGGTTTATTCTTGAATTAATATCTCTTATAGTGGATTTCCTCTCTGGCTTGGTAGCCCCCAGAGTAGGTGTTGTTTCACATTGAACTGGGTAAACAATTGACTGTGTTCTTTACTGTTTTTTTTACTGTCTTATAGAAAGTCAGATACGGTGTCATAACATTCACTGTGACATTGAGTATCTGCTGCCAGAATTTCAATTGGTACCAGAGCAGGCACCCTGCCTGTCTTACTGGGTGAGATCTAGGGATATCACTTTCTGGCACTATGGACAAAGAAGGAGTTTTTGGAAACAGACCACCCATTCTGGATGGATCAAATTATGACTACTGGAAACCTCGTATGATTGCCTTCTTAAAATCATTGGACAAAAAGGCTTGGAGAGCTGCTGACAAAGGATGGAACCATCCCACCATAACTGAGAAAGATGGGACAATCAGTCTGAAGCCTGAGGAAGAATGGAGCAAAGAAGAAGATGAGTTAGCCCTGGGTAATTCCAAAGCATTAAATGCCTTGTTCAATGGAATTGATAGAAACATATTCAGACTAGTACATCAATGTGAACTGGCCAAGGAAGTTTGGGACACTCTCAAAACTACCCATGAGGGCACATCCAAAGTAAAAATGTCAAGGCTTCAGATGCTGACTACCAAATTGAGAACCTAAGGATGATGGAAGATGAAACCATTCATGAGTTTCACATGAACATCTTGGAGATTGCCAACACCTCAGGAGCATTGGGAGAAAAGATGTCAGAAGAAAAACTGGTGAGAAAGATTCTCAGATCCTTGCCTAAAAGATTTGCAATGAAGGTAACTGCTATAGAGGAAGCCCAGGATATCAGCAAGTTAAAGGTGGATGAACTCATTGGGTCTCTTCAGACCTTTGAGATGGGGATCAGTGACAATGTTGACAAGAAAAACAAGAGCATAACACTTGTATCCAACACTGAAGATGAAAACAAGGAGGATGAAGAAGAAAATATTTCAGAAGCTATAGCCATGCTTGGAAGACAATTCAACAAACTCATCAAGAGAATGGATCCAAAGTCAGGGTCAAATGTTAAGAACATTCCTTCTGACATTAACAGATCTTATGACTCCAGCAGAAGACCAAAGTCTGAAGAGAAGGGAAATCAAAGCAGAGGAATTCAATGCCATGGATGTGAAGGATATGGGCACATTCGAGCTGAATGTCCTACCTTTCTTAAGAAACAAAAGAAAGGAATGTCTGTTACCTGGTCTGACTGATTCAGAAAGTAATTCTGAAGAAGAATCTGCCAAACTAGTTACTGCACTAACTGGTGTTTGTACCTCTGAAAGTGACACTAGTGATGAGGAAGTGACATTTGAAGAACTGGCTGATACCTAGAAATTATGTATCAGAAGTGCTGAAGTCTGTCAGCAAAATGAGAGACAAACAAAACTCATAATAAAGTTGGAGGCTGAGAAAAGGGCAGACATTGAAACTATAAGTCATCTAGAAGGGGAAGTTCAAATGCTGAACTCAAAACTGAACCAGATGACCAAATCTGTCAAGATGCTGACAAATGGAAC